AAAAAAAAAAAAAAAAATCATTATGTAGAGCTGGCTTGCCTGCAATGGTTTAATTGGAATAAAATGTGTGCCCCGCTGAGCGGCACGGCTTGTGCTGAAGAGCCAGGATGAGTCAGGCTCTGTGCCGATGATATCAGTGCTTTTCCAACGCCCTCCCGGCAAGGCAGGATGAAGGGGCCACGACAGCGAGGGATCTGGGAACGTGTCACTCTGCACGGGCAGCACCCACATGCGCCGTCCCCGCAGCGGGATTCGGGATGCAGTGAGCTCTGGGGACCTCGGGGTGCTCCGGAAACTCGTGTGCGCACAAACAGCCTCCACGCCTCGCAGCAGCGCCTGGTGCCAAGAGACACAGACGTGTCACATAGCAGAGACCTGAGCTAATTCCCCGGCCCTGCCTCCTCGCCCCTCTGCTGGCAGGGCCGGCCAGGGCAGGGCAGGGCAGGGGGGCAGCAGGGACGGTGCCGACAGGCTGATGCTGCCCCGAGGCCACACGGAGCTGTGAACAAGCCAGTGCCGGCAGGTACCCAGCAGAGATTTGGTCATGCAGATGCTCAGAGACCATAACCCCCCCCCCTCGTGCTACACCAGCTTGGTCCCCCCAAACTGCAGTGCTGGCATCCCACACCACGTGCAAACATCAGGCAGGAAAGACTAGGAGTGCATATGGATAGGGAGAAACATTTACGTGGACAAAATTCAAAACCACCGTGAAAGCTGAAGCCAGCACCAGGGTGCAGGCTCCGGGTACCCAGCACAAAGACGGTTTTCAGCAACAAGAGGTCCCAGGAGACATAGGGGGGACAGCAGAGCAACAGTAGCCAAAATAGAGCTGGGACACAAACAATACCCAGTTATCTTTTGTTATGCAGTCAGAGAGGGGAACACACTGAGAACGGGACAGGCGGGACACACCACAGACACTGGAAACTCCCTTCCAGTCACAGCAAAGGGCACAGTGGATGTCCCCCATTCCGGCTTGGCACTGACCAGGCTCCGGGCAGAGCTGGCGCTGGGCACGGCGAGGCACTGACTCACCCTGCTGAGACACAGGAAGGAGGCGGCGGCCAAGTCCTTGGCCCTGCCAAGGAGCAGCCCTGATGTGCAAGGCTGAACGTGGGAGAAAGCACCCCAGAGTGGGGTCTGCCGGGGATAAGGGTCTCACGAGGCCAGGAGTGAGATGGGGAGGGCCTATCAGTACATCATGCTGTCCTCTCTCCCGTGGGAATGCGTGAACTGGGTATTTTGAGAAGATAAGCAAAGAAAAAGCAAGCATGAATGGTAACTGTTCTCGCTGGCCAGGCAGAGCCCCTGCCTCTCCCGCCTCCCCCTGCCCACCTCCTGCCACGCGGGGCACAGCTCCTGCCGGAGCAGGGCACCTGCAGCCCACCACTGCGCTGATCTCTGCTGGGGCGGCTGTGCTGGGGAGGGACCCTCTGCAGGGACCCTTCTTCGGGGCCAGGGACCCTGCACGGGGGCACTCCGTGAGCACCGGAGAGGACCGGGTAGCGCGCACGGGGACCCTGCTCTCCAAGGGGGCTGGCGACCCTTCCCGGGGACCTTCTGACTCTGCCTGCGCACGGCAGACCCCATCCCCGCCGCAGGACTCCCGGCGGCCCCGGAGCGGCGGTGCGGGACCCCGGCGGGCGGCAGGCGGGAGGCGCGGCCGCGGTGCCGCGGTGATGGGCGCGCCGGTCCCGCCCCGCGCCGAGCGCCGCCCCGCAGCGCGGCTGGGAGAGCGGCGGCGGCGGGGGGGCCGCACTCATCCCCGTCCCCCGGCCCGGCCCGGCCCGCTCGCAGCAGCCGCATGTCGGGGCCCGGCGCGCAGAGCCGCAGCCGGCGGCTGCCCGGTAAGCGCCGACCGCGCGGTGGGCTCGGCGGGATGGGAGAGGGGCACCGCGCCGGGCGGGCGGGCAGGGCTCGGATGCCACATCCCGTCCATCCTCCCCGCAGCGCCCACCTGATGCCCCTGGCAAAGCGGCTGTGCCCCGCTCGCCGCCCCGCGAGCCTCCGGTCCCGGCCGTCCCCCCTCGCTGCACCAACCTGCTGCCGGCCCCGCTGCTTTAGGGCAGGGGCTGCGCGGGGAGCTCCGTGCCTGGGACGGGGATGCTCGGGGAGCGGGGGGATTTGAGGGACACCTGCTTGGGAAGTGGCAGAGCTCGGAAACCTGTTGGGTCACGGGCTTGTTTTGGAGCGGCACCGGCAGCCCTCAGAGCCCTGCGGCTCCCGGAAAGAGCGGATCCCCCCGTACCCGCAGGGCTGAGGATGCTGGGCAGAGCAAACTCCGTGGCGAGCGGCGGGGCGAGCGGCAGCCGGGGGAGCGGGGCTTGCAGAGGGGCAGCCTGCCAGGCACCGTGCCCGGGTCGCGCCTGCCGTGCCTCGGGCACCGCGCTGCTCCCTTCTCATGCTTCTCCTCGCGTGAAAGGAAGCAGGGCCCCGCAAATAGCAGGGTCTTATGACACAGCCTCTGCCGGGGAAGAGCTCCGGGCGGCAGGGAAGGATATTTTTAGTGCTGAGAC